TCAGCAACAGAGAGAAATTGACAGGACTACTCCAACCATGAAGACAGAAGAGAAGCAGTCCAGAGATGGAAGACGCTGATGACGCCTTGCCATAATAGCAGTCAGCAGCTGTGTGTCACTGCAGGTTGCCAGGACCAAACAAGAGAGGGTCAGACCTGCATTACCACCAGTTGTCCACCATCCAGAACTGAAATATCATTGCTGACATGTACACATAAGGAACTGTTTGACAATGAAATTGGGTCTCCAAAGAACTGTTGGCCCAGAAAGAAACTTACTATAGACTGATTCACATGCCTTTCAGCATAACCATTATTGTTTGTCTCATTGTCCAGTAGGACATGATCTCACTCATCTAGGGGAAATGATGAACATAGACTTATGAACAAGAACAGACCCAGAGATAAGGAGCCATGGATCAGACTGTTGGACCGCAGAGGAAGTCTAGGAGAAGGTGGGGATAAAGGAGAGAGATCAACCAAAGGACTTGCATGCATACATATGAGTCTAACCAGTGGTCAAGGACAACAGGGGGGTGGGGGCATACATGGGAAGTGGTGGAGGATGGAAATGGGGGGGATGAGGAAAAATATGTGATACCTTAATCAATTGAAAGAAAGAAGAAAAGAAAGAACGAAAGGACAAAAGGAAAGAAAGAAAGAAAGAAAGAAAGAAAGAAAGAAAGAAAGAAAGAAAGAAAGAAAGAAAGAAAGAAAGAAAGAGGAGGTATTATTGATATGAGAAAATGCTAAGTAACTGATTTACTATCTGAAAAGGGATTTACTATCGGGGGAAAGGGAGGGAAGAAGAGACTGAACATAAACTGTGCACCTATGGATGAGGACAATGGGGGATGGGAAGGGGGCGGAGGGTGGGGTGGGAACCTGGTGGAGGGAGGAAGAAATGAGGAACCTTTGTAATAATATGAACAATAAAGATTGATTTTTAAAAAAATCAATAAAATATATTTTAAAAAAAGAAAGAAAGAAAGAAAGAAAGAAAGAAAGAAAGAAAGAAAGAAAGAAAGAAAGAAGAGAAAACACTCTTTTGCAGTGCTCTTTGGCATATCTGTGGTTATTTGTAGCCATGTACATGCATGGAAGGGTGAAAAATTTGAGTCTCACATTCCTAGGTGAGGTCAAACAAGGCAACTGCTCTATCTTTTTATCTCAGCTTTCATACTGTATAGAGGTGTCTTTTGCAGTCTATTTAGTGTCATTATTTTTCACATTTTTGTGCTTTGGAGGGTAATTTTGCTGCTTAAAATGCATCAAATGCCGAAACAGGTTTTGCTCAGTGGATAGAACATCAGCCTGTGGACTGAAAGGTTCCGGGTTTGATTCCGGTCAAGGGCATGTACCTTGATTATGGGCACATCCCCAGTAGTGGGTGTGTAGGAGGCAGCTGGTCGATGTTTCTCTCTGGTTGATGTTTCTAACTATCTATCTCTCTCCCTTCCTCTCTGTAAAAAATCAATAAAATATTTTATTGATTTTTTACAGAGAGGAAGGGAGAGAGATAGAGAGCTAGAAACGTCGATGAGAGAAAAACATCAATCAGCTGCCTCTTGCACGTCCCCTAACGGGGATGTGCCTGCAACCAATGTAAATGCCCCTGACCGGAATCGAACCTGGGACCTTTCAGTCCGCAGACCGACGCTCTACCACTCAGCCAAACCGATTTCAGCTAAAATATATATTTTTTTAATGCATCAAAGCTGAAGTGCCGTCTGGTGTTCTTAAGTGCAGGAAGGTTGTGACATGCCTTATAAAGAAAATGCATGAACTTAGATGAGCTTTGTTGAGCATGAGTTATAGGACTGTTGGCCAAGAGTTCAATGTTAATTAATTAACAAAATGTGTTAAGTAAGGTATCTTTAAATAGGAACACACATGCAACAAGGTTATGTATTGACCAGTTGACAAAAATATTGTGTCCAGAGGCTCACAGGAACCTATTTCCCAGAGGAGCATGGTTCAGTATTCACTAATCCAGTGTCTGTAATGACTTTATGCAACATAACTACCTCTCAAATAAAAAGAGAAGCTGTGCTAATTACCCCAGGTGATGAAGCTGTGGCACAGAGGTGTGAAGAAATGAGCTCAGAATCACATGGCTAGTGGAAGGTATAGGGAGGATTTGAACCCATGGCAGACTGGTTCCAGAACCTATGCTTTTTTTCTGCTTCTTATAAGACAAGAGGTTCCTGATCAGGGTTCCTTGAAGGTCAAGGTTGGGGGGATCAGGGTGCCCTAGAAAACCAAATGCTGAAGAAACTGGTTTGGCTCAGTGGATAGAGCATCGGCCTGTGGACCAGGTTCAATTCTGGTCAAGGGCATGTACCTTGGTTGCAGGCACATCCCCAGTGTGTGTGTGTGGGGGGGGGGGTGGGGGGCGGGAGGCAGCTGATCGATGTTTTTCTCTCATCGATGTTTCTAACTCTCTATCCCTTTCTCTTCCTCTCTGTGAAAAATCAATTAAAAATATTTTTTTTAAAAAAGAAAGAAAGGAAGGAAGGAAGGAAGGAAGGAAGGAAGGAAGGAAGGAAGGAAGGAAGGAAGGAAGGAAGGAAGGAAGGAAGGAAGAAAACCAAATGCCTCTAAATCTCCCAGCCTCCTGAGGGATTATGATATTCTGGGATGTCAAGTCAAAGTTACGGTGTCTCAGTATCCTCTGAAAACAGGATTAGTGGATCAACATTTCTTTGAAATATCAAAATGTCCTGGGAAATGAGGCTGTCCTGGAAGGCTGGGCAGAGTTCTCATGTAGTGTTAGGGGATCTTGAGGCATCAGGGTACATTGGGTTTCAATGCTTGCTTGTGGGTCCAAGTTGACTACATGTTACTGGGTCTCTGAAGGCCATAGTTGTCATGGAGCTCAGGTTGTTCTAGGAGGTCACGGTATATCGTGGGGTAGAGGGAGAGGGGCTGGTGTCTTGGGTCAGTGTTTCTTGACTTTAATGTTATTATGACTGTGCCTCCTTCCAGCCCATAAGTTGAAATTCTAACCCCAGTGTGATGGTATTTGGAGGTGGAGCCTTGGGGAGGTGGTTGGGTTTAGAGGACATGGTGTGTGTGCGGCTCCCACTATGGCATTAGTGTCTTTGTAAGAAGAGGAAGAGACACCAGAGCTGGCTCACTCCTGCACTATGGAGACGCTGGCTGTCTGCAAGCTGCAACAGAGCTCTCTCCAGAATCTGAATCAGCAGGCACCTTGATAGTAGACTTCCCTGGCCTCCAGGACTGTGAAAAATAAATGTTTATAGTTTAAGCCACCAACCTTTGGTTTTGTCTGTTTGTTTGTGTGTTTGGGGGGGGCGGTGTTTATTAAGGGGGAGGTGTTTGTGAGTTTGCTTGTTTGTATGTTTGTTTTGGGCAGCCTGAGTTGATGAAGACAAATGTACATTCAGTTCTCCTGGGGATTCTGTTGTAATTCAGATTCTGGTTCAGTAGAACTGTGGTGGGGCTAAGATTCTAAATTTTTAACAAGCTTTGATACGTTTCTGATGTTTTTGATTCATGGGCCATATTATAAATCTCAAGATCCTAGAGGATTATAATGATTTTCTGTCTTAACTTGTAAGGGTGCTTTTAAAGGATGTGTGTGAAGGATTAGCATGACCTTGAGGATCAGACTGTTATATGGGTGCTGTGTGTTCTAAGGGGGTTAGGGTGTCTGTGTGTTCTAAGGGTGTTAGTGTATACTGAGAGCTCAGAGCTTCATAGTGGGTACAGGGGCTCTTCTAGTAGAGATGGGATGTTCTGGGTTTCAGTGTGTCCTAGAGGACCCTAGATTCTTGGGATATCAGGTTGTCTTTAAAGAATCAGGATGTCCTAGGATGTCAGAATGTACTTCCTGGGTCTGTGTAACCTCAAGACCAGAGTACTGTGGGTGTCAGGGCGTCCTGGCTGCTCAGGAATTCTGGGTGTATCCAGGTTTCCTTGAACAATCCAAATGTCAGAATGTCATGGGAATCCCAGTCTCCTGCAGAGCCCTGAGGCCCAGGGGAGGGACAACCAGGGGGTTCAAGATGCACCTAGAATTCAGATGCTTTTCTGGGTCAGAGTTTTCTGAAAGTCTAGGCAACCTTGGAAGATCGCGGAGTCCGGGGCTCTGGGTGAAGGCAGTGACATGTGGAGGAGGAAGCAGAGAGCACTGAGAACTGTGGTGTCCTGGAGACTCAGCTAACGTTGTCCTCGGGGTTGTCTGGTGTATTCTGAGAATCAGGAATCTTGGAGGGGCCAGAATGCACTTGTATCTCTTGCTTTCTTAGTTGTCTGGAAACAGGCCTTTGGGTAGCACCCACAGGCTGAGATGCCAGGCCGGCTCTGCTCCCAGCCTCCTTGGCCTCCTCCCCCCAGGTGGGGTTCTGAGGAAGGGTCTTGGAGGAATGCATTTTCTCCTCCTTCCCCTCCGCTCCCAGGAGGGGATTTAACAGGACAAAAGAATGTTGTCCTCTGGGAACAGGAGCTCTTGGCCCCAGTCCCTGGACCCTCCAGCAGAGCACCTTCCCTCATCCGGCTTGTGATCCTCCCCTGATGAAGGGGCTCTGGTGACCAGGCAGTGATTGGATGGGCCCACAGGGCCAGGAGGAGGTCATTCCTTCAAGACTCGGAGAGAAAGAGGTGGTGTGGGATTGCAGGCTGGGCAAGGAGTGAGCTGAGAGCAAAGGGAGAACGGTGTGCAGGAGCGAAGGGGCAGGGGAGGGTTATAGAAGCAAAAAACAGGGTAAGGGCAAGACAGAGAAAGAGGTGAGGCTCAAGCAAAGAACTGGGGAAACAAAGAAAAAAAAGGAGACGGGTGGGGGGGAACAGCGGTATCTATCTATCTATCTAGAGAGAGAGAGAGAGAGAGAGAGAGAGAGAGAGAGAGACTCGAGAGAGGTAAAAACAGACGGACAGAGAGCAAGGTAAAAGGCACAGAGGGGGACAACAGGAAGGAAGACTGCCTCCGAATTAGAGACTGGGGACATAGGACACAGGTGCAGGGTGCTGTTAGGCATGGAAGTGGAAGGGAGGAGTGAGCAGGGTAAGCCAAGGAAGGGGCGAGTTTGCAGCAGCCTCTGGCTGGAGAGCTGCCCAGCCTCCAGGACTCAGACCTCCACGGTGGGTGAGTGAACCTCTGGGGGGCTCCTGCTGAGGCGGTAGGAGTGGGGGCTCCATGCCCGGGCTCCACAGGGCAATAGTTTGACACAAGGAAGGTGAAGAGAAGAAATAAAACAACCCTACAACGTTAAAGCCATGCGAACCTAGAAAGCCTGGCGACTCCTTCGGTTTACAGACTGGAGGGCGGAGGCCCTGGCGTGGATGAGCTGCCGAGCGCCTGACCTGGTGTGGACAGAGGGAAAGCTGGGCCTGTCTCCTCGCTCCTGACCTCAGCTTGCCCACTGCACTGTCTTCTCTGAAGGAGGGAGCTGGAGGGGCCAGGGTTTTGGGATCTGAGGAGAGCGGGAACCAGTGGCTCAAGGTGAGCACTGGGTGGGGCCATGCCCTTGAGTCCCCATGGGGATGGGGTGCCATGGCTCCAGACATCTCCTTTTCTCAGTGAGTGCCTTCCAGGTGTTTCTTTTCTCTCTGTTCTCTCTTCCCCGCTGGCTCTCAGACTAATTAGTGTGGGGGCTTAGGGAGCCTGTGGGAAGGACAGACAAGCCTTTCCCACGAGCTCAGGTTCCTGCAGCCTAGTGGCCCAGCCAGGGCCAGAATAAGGGAGAAGATGAGATGTACAGAGGGGAGGGTGTGTCTGAGCGGAAGAGGGGGAAGCGTTTTGTCTTCCCCATAAGGGGTGTGGGAGAATAGGAGCAGCTGAACGTGAGCCCTAAGACAGGGACCAGTGATGGGATCTCTGGGGACCAGAGACCTGGACAGTTTGTTGGGTGTCAGAGCAAATAGGAGAGCCACAGGATGAGACTCGGGAGGGCGGCTTGTTCACTCAGGGAGACCCAGGGAGGGCGTGTTGCAGGGGGTGGACCTGGGAGACTGGGATGGGGTGGGATGGGCGGGATGCCCTGCAGAGGCCAAGCCGCCAGAGCTGAATGCCCAGGAGGAGGAGTCAGTCTGAAGAGTGGATCCCACGCAGAGTGGCAGCCTGCTTAGGAGACTCCAGGTGAATCAGGGCCAAGGCTGAGCTGGGTCCAGCTCCTCATGAAAGCTGCAGGGTTTCTGTCTGGGGCAGTGTGCATGTGGACAGCATAGAGGCGCTGAGCAGACTCGGGGGGAACAGCATCAGGTGTTGGGAATGGGTGGTGGGTCCCCTGGGCAGCAATCTCTCCCTCCCCCATCCTCAGACACGAGCGCCCAGCACCACAGGAGCCTCTCCGGTGTGGCAGTGGAGACCCCGAGGCTTTCCCCACGAAGACAGGGAGGCCACCTGCACTCCCGGCGCCGCCACCGCACCACCTTCAGCCCAGCGCAGCTGGAGCAGCTGGAGTCAGCCTTTGGGAGGAACCAGTACCCTGACGTTTGGGCCCGAGAGGACCTGGCCCGGGACACCGGTCTCAGTGAAGCCAGAATCCAGGTGATGGGTGCTGGGCAGAAGTGCGGTTTGGGTGCTGAGGAACTACTGGGACACACATTTTCACAGGCATTATAACCCTAACCTAAAATTCACCAAAATGTAGCCTCATCCGACAGTCACCAGAACCTCGTCTGCATCGGGAGTGCCCCTGAGTGAACCCTAGTGCTGATCTAACTTGCATTTCAGCACCTACCCCCACCCTTAACAGTGATTGAATTCCAACAGAAATCAATCTTGCCAAAACCGGTTTGGCTCAATGGATAGAGCGTCGGCTTGGGGACTGAAGGGTCCCAGGTTCGATTCTGGTCAAGGGCATGTACCTTGGTTGCGGGTATATCCCCGGTAGGGGGTGTGCAGGAGGCAGCTGATCAATGACTCTCTCATTGATTTTTCTAACTCTGTATCTCTCTCCCTTCCTCTCTGTACAAAATCAATAAAATATATTTAAAAAAAAAAAGAAGAAGAAAAGAAATCAATCTTAACTCTACACCTACATTTAGACTTATAAACTTGTCCCTAACCATGGCCTCAAAACTCAATCAGACTGAGGCTCCGCTCCCTCAATTCTAACTGTGGAGTTCATCCATCTTAAGCAGAAACCCGACCCTAAATCCAACCCTGTCTACAATTAAACTTGTCCATTGTCTGAATGTCTAATAACCCTAGGGGAAATGTCTTATCCTCTGGGGAGGGAGAAATGCCATTGTGTCATATTTATCTCTTTCTTGTTGTATACTAACACCTCTTCTCCAAAGTTACATTAGGGCAAATGTAGATACAAGTTGGGGATAACAGTATGCATCTCACTTTGTCAGGAGATCTGGCACAGACATGGCTCCTGGAGAGCATCGTTTCCTGTGGTGATGTGGGAGATATTCATGCCTTGTACCTATACCTTCTGCCACTGGGGCGGGGGTCGCATATAGCAGTGCCACCTAACTGAGAAGAGGGCTCTGACATGGCTCTTCTCCCTCCTCCTCAGGTCTGGTTCCAGAACCGCAGAGCTAAGCAGAGGAAGCAAGAGCGGTCACTGCTTCAGTCGCTGGTCCATCTGTCTCCTGCTACCTTCTCTGGTTTCTTGCCCGAGTCCTCTGCTTGCCCCTACTCCTACTCAACACCATCTCCACCAGGGACCTGCTTTCCTCATCCCTACAATTATACTCTTCCCTGCCAGCCCTCCACAGGTGGTTCCTTTGCTCGACCCCATCAGTCTGAAGACTGGTACTCCACTTTGCACCCAAACCCCGCTGGTCATCTTCCCTGTCCCCCACCCCCACCCATGCTTCCTCTCAGCCTTGAGCCACCAAAGTCCTGGAACTAAGGTCAAACAAGTACTGATCAGGTAATTAATTGCCCAGTCTCTGGCCTTCAGGAAACAGTAAACACTAGGTGGTTTCCTTTCCTTCTGAGTAACGTAGAAATATGGTGAGGGGCAGCTCAGAGAGTAGAAATTAAAAAACCGGAAGTCATGATAAAGGCTCACTGAGGTGACGGAGAGAATTGACAGAGGTGAGCCTACTCGAGGATGCACATAAGCCTCAATGGAGGTGACTGGGGAAGAGTAGTTTGATGGAAGCAATTGTTGCTGCTGGCAAATAGAAAGGGTTGAGGGAGATAGAGCTTGTGGGGCTTCATTCACTGAGATCACAATTTAAGATCTTCATTCCAGTTGTTGCTAGCTGATTTCAAGACAGCTTTTGATTTAAAGGCTACTTATACCTTCCTTCCCAAAATTCCACCCTACACCCAAAGCAATCACTAACTTTTCCTCATTCTATCCTAGAAATATCTCTTGAATTTATTCTTCCCTTCTCCATTCTAGCAGACATTACTTTTGCTAGCTCAATGTTTTCTAATTCTCCTTGGTTTCCTTAGCTTCCGTATTTCCACTTCCAACAGACCTTGCAAATTCAGTCATCAAAGAATGGCTCCCAAATGTCCTATAAAAATAAATAAGCTCTGATTCACTTGGCCTGTAAGAGACCTAACTTTTAAGCTGACTGCATGTTTTATTTTCTTGTGAGTTCTTTCTTTAATTGGAACAAAGGAAGATTTCTTTGTGTGTGTACAGACACCATAAAGACTGTAAAGAAATCTATATGATCTAAGCCAGGCAGTTTCATTTATAGCACTGTTTTTTATGTAGTTACATGATGTGATGGTAGTGTTTTAAACTATGAAACCACTGAGAGATTGTACCTCCTAGTTGAAGTCCTATATAATAAAAGGGTAATATGCAAATCGACCAAACATCAGAACGACTGGTCACTATGACACGCACTGACCACCAGGGAGCAGCCCCCTGGTGATCAGTGCACTCCCACAGGGGAAGAGCACTCAGCCACAAGCCAGGCTGGCGGCTGGCAAGGATAGCAGCGGGGGTAGGAGCCTCTCCCGCCTCCATGACAGCACTAAGGATGCCCATCTGTGGTGTACACAGCCCACATGGGATGTACCACCATCCAACCACTTCCACAAGTGACACACTCAAGGGGAGCAGGCCTAAGCCGTCAGTCAGACACCCCCCAAGGGCTCCTGGACTGCTAAAGGACACAGGCCGGACTTAGGGAACACCCCCTCCTCCCCAGTGTAGGAATGTTGTGCACTGGGCCTCTAGTTTATAATAAATCATGCTTCAGAAAAAGGAGAGGACTTCCAGGCAAGATGGAGGTGTAGGTAAATGTGCTATTCACCTCTTCCCACAACCACATCAAAATTACAACTAAACCACAGAACAACCATCATTCAGAACCACCTGAAATCTGGCTGAATGGAAGTCCTACAATTAGGAAATTAAAGACACAGTCACATCCAGACTGGTAGGAAGGGCAGAGACAGGAACAGGCTGGTCCCACACCCATGTGTAGCAGATAAGAATAGGTCCCTAGCCAATGTAACTTAGTGGTTAGAGCATCAGCCGTGCACCAAAGGGTCTTGGGTTCAATTCTGGATCAAAGGCAAGTACCTGAGTTGCAGCTTCAATGCCTGGCCCAGGTCAGAGCACATGCAGAAGGCAACCAATCAATGTGTCTCACAGAGATGTTTCTCTCTTTCCACTTCCCTCCCCCATCTCTTCCACTCCCTCACTTCCACTCTTTCTAAAAGTCAATGGAAAAAAATATCCCTGGCTGATGATTAACAACAACAACAACAACAACAAAAATGGGCCCAGCTCTTGTAGTGGTTGAGCATCAACCTATGAACCAGGAGATCATATTTCAATTCTGAGTCAGAGCAAATGCCAGGTTGCTGGCTCCATCCCTAGTGGGGGTGTGTAGGAGGCAGCCAATCAATGAGTCTCTCTCATTATTGATGCTTCTATCTCTCCCTCTCCCTTCCTCTCTAAAATCACTAAAAATATTATTTTAAAAAAATGGGAGGGATATCTCAGCCATGGAAGTGCCACCTGAGGAGCAAGGGAGTCCCAGCCCTATACTAGGCTCCCCAGTCCAGGGTTCCAGTATTAGAAAGGGAAGTCTCATAACTTCTAGATATAAAGTCCAGCAGGGATTATGCCTCAGTGAGACAAAGGGTTGCTGGAGTCTCAAGCAGTTCCTCTTAAAGGGCCCATGCATGGATTTATTCAGACTCACTTCCTCTGAGCTCCAGCACTGGGGCAAGAGCTTGAAAAGCACCAGAGACATATAGGGAGGAAATGAATTGTCAGGCATCAAGGCAAGGCTGGGGTGTGGGGGGTACCTTTCTCACAGACAGAAGTGCTGGCAGAGACTTGTTCCTTTGATGAGCCTTCCGTCCACAGAGCCAGCAGGCAGGAGCATATCTGAAACTCTATAAACTAAGCTCACATCATTGCCCTACCCTGGTGATTCCCTGAGGCCCTGTTCCACTCAACTTGTAGGCCCACACAAAGCTGTTTCCAGTGACTTTACTATAGGAATGGCCAGTCTTGGCTCATGCTTCTGATTTTCCCAAAATCTCTCAAGTAAACAGCATCTGGCCTCAGCAAGGCCTGTACCTCTCCCTAAGTGGCCCCAGGTCTGGTACTATCAGCAGCCGGCCTTGGTTCACAGCATGGTCTTGTCTGGGAACCTCCAAACCAGCACAGGTAGCAGCCATCTGCAAATCGCTTTGTAGCTCATTCTGGGTGGCCCCAGGCAGAACACAGGCAATGGCTGAACTTGGCCTATACTTCCTGAGAGGCCCCAGAGCCAGTGCACACAATAGTCAGCTTCAGATCACATTGAAGTAAAACCACACAACCACCTCCACAAGCAACACACTCAAGGGACACACTCAGTGGGCACCAGAGTCCTGCTAAAGTAAGTACTGTTCTATGGGGTGGGTCACTGCATATCTAGTTGCTGTTCCATCGTGCTCAGAGATTGGTGTCAGTAGCCATAGCCAGTTCTTCCAACTTACTGGTCAGGTGGTAAATCTCCCCCATTTACATGCCAACAGCAAACAAAGCTCAACTACAAGAGGAGGGTGTACAGCCCACATGGGGTGCACACCTCAAGTGAACAGCTTGGGTCATTGGGGAGACTGAGCCACTGAACCCTACAGGTCACTTAGTACCCTAGGCCACTCTACCAAGCCAGGGAGATATAGCACAGACAGTCCTCAGGTTATGTCGGACTCACTGTATGTCTTTTCATGGTTACATCGCCATCTCCCTTTTTTTTTTTTTAAAGTTCCACCATTTCAACGTATGTGCTTTATGTGTTTGTTTGTTTTTTTTATTTAACATATGTGCTTTATGGTTTGTTTGTTTTTTATTTAACACAAGTAAATTAAAAGGATTGTTATCTTTCTTTTATTTTATTTATTTTTTTACTGTTTCACTTCGCTACTGCTGTGTATGTGCTCAATGTGAGTGATGTAGGTGCTTATATAGGTGGGTTCCTATCTAACAGTGAAAATCGCGTTATGTCCTGCCATAGGATCAGATCTCTGATGTAACCCGAGGACCTACTGTATATAGAAACAAACACAGGAAGACAGCCAAAATGAGGAGATAAAGAAACGTGTCCCAAATTAAAGAACAGAATAAAACTAAAAAAAAAAACTGAACAAAGTGGAGATAAGCAATCTACCAGATGCAGAGTTCAAAACACTGCTTATAAGGATGTTCAATGAACTTAGAGGAAAATTAGAAGAATTTATGAGAACTTCAACAAAGAGATAGGAAATGTAAAAATGGACCTAGAAACCAGAAAAAAAGAACCAGTCAGAAATAAAGACTACATTTACTGAAAACTACATTATAGGAATTATCAGTAGAGTAGATGAAGCAGAAGATCAAATCAGAGATCTGGAAGATAAGGCAGCAGAAAACATCCAAGCAAAACAGCAAAATATAAATGGGCATAATATAAGGAGCCTCTGGGACAGCTTCAAGCATACCAACATTCACATTGTGGGGGTGCCAGAAGAAGAGAGAAAACAGACAGCCAAGGGACATAGGGAAAAAATGCTCAATGTTAATAATTAACAGAGAGATGTAAATTAAAACTACAATTAAGTATCACCTCACACTTGCCAGAATGGCTACTATCAATAAATCAACAAACAACATGTGCCAGTGAGGATGTGGGGAAAGGGAACCCTATTACACTGCTGGTAGGAATGCAGACTGGTGCAGCCAATGTGGAAAATAATATAGAATATCCTCAAAAAATTAAAAATGGACCTGCTATTTGATCTAGTGATCTCACTTCTGGGAATATATCCTAAGAATCCCAAAACACCAATTAGAAATAATACTAGTATAAGCACCCCTATGTTCATAGCAACATTATTTACAATAGCTAAGAATGAAAACAGCCCACGTGCCCATCAGTGGATGAGTGGATAAATAGGCCATAGTATATTAACAGCATGGAATATTATGTGGCAATCAAAAATAAGCACCTCTTACCCTTTGCAACATCAAAGATGGACCTGGAGAGTATCATGCTAAGTGCACCGGGCCTCTGGTTGGTGTACAAAAATGCCATCAATTTCTAGATATTAATTTTGTATCCTACTACTTTGCAAATTCATTTATTAAACCTAGTAGTATATTGGATGAGTCTTTAGAGTTTTCTATGTACAATATGTAATCTGCAAATAATGAGTTTTACTTCCTCTTTTCCAATTTCAATGTCTTTTATTTTTTCTTCCCGTCTGATTACTGTGGCTAGGACTTCCAGTACTATGTTATATAATAAAAACCTAGGTGACATTACTCCCTCATGCAATGCCCTTGCACAAGATTGTCACAATGTGGCTGCCACAAGATGGTTGCCCTCACGTCATCACAAGATGGCCACCATAAGATGGTCACCACAAGATGGCCAGCAGAGGAGGGCAGTTGGGGTG